GGCCAGGCATGGTGGCTCATGCCTATAATCCCAGCACTTTGGGAGGCCGAGGTGGGAGGATTGCCTGAGTCCACGGGTTCAAGACCAGCCTAGGCAACTTGATTAGACCTCATCTCTACAATAAATAAAAAAAAATAAGCCAGGTATGGTGGCGTGTGTCTGTAGTTTCAGCTACTTGAAAGACTGTGGAGGAAGGATTGCCTGAGCCCAGCAGGTCGAGGCTGCAGTGGCCGTGATCATGCCACTGCACTCCAACCTGGGAGACAGAGTGAGACTCCAACTCAAAAAAAAAAAAAAGAAAAAAAATTTCAAGTCAAATTGTTACAATAGATATAAAAATGTTTACAGTGATAATAACTATACATTTTAAATTTAGAACAAGTAAGCAGTAACAATGACCCATAAACTTAAATGTTTGATTGAATTTCCTGACTGTATAAACCATTTAATTAAAAGGTCAATTATATTTTAACTCAAGGGTCATGTATGGTATATTTTAGATGTTGGTCCTTAAGTTTTCAATATAACCTTAACTAAATTCTGTCTTTTCTATAAAAACTTAAGAAAAATATTGCTAAGAATTGTGTGGTCTACTTACTATAAAAGTAAATGTAATATTTCTAAATATTTCTGAAATATGAAGGAGATACTAAAAGCTTGTGATATAACTGTAACACACATTCTTGTTGTATACTGTACCTGGCTAGGTAAAAGCAGTGATCAATGTTTATTTATCAATTATCTTGAACATTTACTATGTCACAGATTTTTATTGGCAAACACATTGCCTACTTTCTGGGTGGGAAGAGGAAAAAGGTAAAATTTAACAACGCTACAAGTTTTAAGCAGTAATATAACCCTAATGTTTATCTTTAGAGAGTAAGGTAAGTAAATCATGTTATACCCATCAACGTAGTATTATGTAACCTTCAGGGGGAAGCCCTTTGTATACTGATAAGGATATCCAAAATAAATCATTCAGTACTAAAAAGAATAACATGTATGCAGCATTTGACCATGTGGGGAAAAAAATCATACATAGCATGTATACTGCCTTAAATACCTCTGGTTAGGAAAATTTTGTTGGGGGAGAGAAGGAGAATTTTTACTTTTTAAAAAAACTTTTAAAATAGATTTCCTTTTGTGATCTTTAGAATTATATATCATATGAATATACTACCTATACATATACATGAATTAAAATAAAATAAAAAGACACAGATAGATAAATTTAGAGGAAGTAAAGATTATTCTGTACTAGAATCTTTAGAAAACCTCCATGAAGCAGGTAAAAGGATGGAAATCTTCTGAATGGGAAGGCAGAAATAAAGAAGATGGAGGTCGGCTCATCTCATTCGGAAAGAATAGCAAGCAGGATTTTGCAAAATGAGCCAACGTGACAATGAGTCCAATCTTCTGATTAGAGATACAAGCATCCTAAAAATGTTGAGGAATTAAAGTTTAAAATAGTGATCAGCTGTAGAAGATGTTAAACACCCAGAAAAATCACAGTTAGCTATCCAAAGTTTCAGAACTGGGAAGTAATAATTAAGAAATACAAATGTTGCCCCATCCAGAGTATCTTGAAGATGCATTAGGTACTGGTTCCTTCCTTACACTCTGCCCTGGATTTCTCTAGAAAATAGGGAATGGAAGACATTATGAAGGGAAACTGAATAAAGGCTTGGTGTCTTATCAGATGTAAAGAATGTAAATTAGAGAAAAATAAAAAAATCATTGAGGATCTTGAGCTTTTCAGTCTGGGGAAAAAATGAGTTTGGTTTTAAATATGTTGATTTCCAAGTAATGATGAGTCAATAAGCAATTGTGAATTCAAATTGCAACTGAAAGAAAATCAAGATTGGAATTATGAAGTTGATGTATTTGTTTTCTAGGGCTGCCCTGACAAATTGCTATGACTGGGGAGCTTAAAACAACAGAAATTTATTCTTTCACAATTTTGAAGCCCAGAAGTCTGAAATCAAGGTGTTGGCTGTGTTAAGCTCCCTTTTGAAGGTATTAGGGAGAGCCCTGCTTGTCTCTTCCAGTTTCTGGTAGCTCCTAGAAATCACTGGCTGTGACAGCATAATGCTTCGGCCTCCATCTTCACATGACCTTGTCTCTTGTGCCTCTATGCCTGTGTTTACTCTGTGTCTCTTTATATAAAGAGACCAGTCACTGGATTTGGGCCAAACTTAAATTCAAGATTATCTCATCTCTAGATCCTCCCTTAACTTGATTACATCTGCAAATACTCTTTCTAAATAAGCTCATAATCACAGATTTGGGAGAGGCTAGGACCCGGACATATCTTTTGAGGGGGACTCTGTTAAAACCACTACAGTTGAGAACCATCAATTCATGAACTCAACAAAGAGTAGATGTCATCTCTGAAAAAATGAATGCAGTAAATACAGGCTAAGATCATGGATTTAGTACCTACAAATTTAGAAAATGGGTAAAGGAAGTAGTGGCAGGAAAAAGAAAATGGATGAGAGAAAAATCAAGACCAAGAGGTGATTAATTACATCAAATATGGCTAAGAAAGTAAGTGTGGAGATGCTCAGGAAAGTATGGATTTGAGTGCTCACATGCACACTAACCAACAGAACTACAGCTTAATCATTAGGAATTTTTGTAATGAATAAATAAAAAATGGTTATTCAGCTTCCCTAGGGAAACAAAAATAATTCTGGGTCCTACTGAACAATACATCAAAGAACTATCCAGATGTCCAGATCAAAAGAAAAATTAATTAGAAAATTGTTTAAAGATGTGTAGTTTGCCAAAGGCAACACACTGAAAATAAAAAAAAAGATTACTTAATAGGGGGCAACAACTGGTCATAGAGCAGAGGGTGAGAATCAAAAGAAAGAGCTTTCGGTGAGGTCACTGAGAGCACAGTTCAGAATTTTAAGAAATGGACTATTTGAAAGACAACATAGGCCTCTTGGGGAGCCAAGCACAAACTAAGTTTACTGAAATAGATAGGATGAGGACAGCTGGAATAAAGATTTGTAAGCAGGAGCTAAGATTTATTCATATACACATATATGACTGGTAGCTACCTGAGGGTATAATAATTTACACTCTTTTTTTTTGAGTTGGAGTCTCACTCTGTCACCCAGACTGGAGTGCAGTGATTTATTGCAGATTTATTGATTTATTGTAGAGATGAGGTCTCGGCAAGTTGCCCAGGCGGGTCTCGAACCTGCGGGCTCAGGTAATCCACTCACCTCAGCCTCCCAAAGTGCAGGATTACAGGCTGAGCCACCGAGCCCGACTAATTTACACTGTTATGATGTAGTTTATAGTAATTACAAATACGCAACAATCTTGAAAATGCTATTTACTATGAAGAAATTTAAAAGAGCTAGAAGTACAAAATGAAGTTCTTGGATCCCTGATTTGTATCCTGCTCGCCTCACTTAATTTCAGTCTGCGTCTTGTTCATGCCCAGGCATGACATAGTCTTCACATTCCTGCATCTCTGAATAGGGTTCTTCTGCCTGACAGATGTACTCCCACATATATTTTTAAACTGAACTCAAGAATCACTTCTTCTGTGAAGCTTCATCCAACTATTAATCAGTTACCCTGGAAAACTTTATGGGTAAATGATTCTATCACTTGGAGGGAAAAAAAAAAGTATCCTCCTGATTGGTAAGGTGAGATTTTATACCACCAATATTAAATTCTATCACTTAGGGGAAAGAAAAAAGTATCCTCCTGATTGGTAAGGTGAGATTTTACACCACCAATATTAAATTAGACAAGAATATCTAAATAGAAATAAGAAGACAGCTTAATTGATCATTATCTAAGTACCTACTGACATTAAACATTTTAAAAATTCATTTCTATCTATTCAAGTTGCTATTCCTAAGGAAACATGTGATAGTTTATAAACTACATTTTAAAACTATGGTTAAACTGGGCGTGGTGGCTCACGCCTGTAATCCCAGCACTTTGGGAGGTGGAGGCAAGAGGATTGCCTGAGCCCAGTTGTTCAAGACCAGCCTATGCAATTTGCTTTTTTTTTTGACAATAAATTTAAAAAAAAATTAGCTGGGCATGGTGGCATGTGCCTTTAGTTCCAGCTACTTAGAAGCTGAGGTGGAAGGATTGCCTGAGTCCATCAGGCCTGAGGCTGCGGTAGCTGTGAGTATGCCACTGAACTCCAGCCTCAGTGACAGAATGAGACTTCTATTTAAAAAAAAAAAAATCTGTGGTTAAAGAATTGTTTTTGTTTTGTTTTGTTTTTAAGGAGGCACAGTAATGTACATTAGATGCTTAGGAGGAGATATTTTACTTTAGCATTAAATTTACTAAACTTCCAAGGGGGAATAAAATCTTTCAATTAGATGCAAGAAAACTTTTCAACATCTCAAATATCTCAAAATAAAATTTGCTCTTCGAGTTACCTAATAATTTAGTCTTATTGCAAGCAACAACATTACAAGGTAACTGTAATATATTCTATGTAAAAAGGCTCTTTTTAAAAAAAACTATAGACTATGTACCAGGAAGATACCCAGGATTTTCCCTGGATAACCTCAGAGTCAGATCAAGAAGATACATGTAGTTAGAAACCCATGAACACAATCCAAAGACTATGTTACTCTTTAAAAATATATATTCAAAAATAAGTACTATATTTCCATTCTTAATACATGCATCAAGCAATAGCCCTTGGTTGGGGCTTAGTACTAACCAGGACTTTAGGTTTTTGGATATTTTATTTGCCTGAATATGAAAGCCACTTAAAATGGACATTTATTCTTTACTGCATCACAGAACCACATATATAGAGGATCTATCTCCAGTACCAATTTTACAACTAGTTATTGATCTTATTACATATTAGTAACTGTTACTAATTACTAACTGTTGCAGGACTACTTTTTAACAGTCTATGTGGAAAAGATGAGTCAGAAAAGAAGAAAAATAGATGTTCCCTTGTCTCATCCTAAAACAAAACCAAAACCAAAAATATGTACCTTATCTGTTTCATCCACACTCACGGATTTCATCACACAAGAAACTGGCCTCTCCTGAATGCGTCCAAGGTCCTGGGGGGCGCTCTGAGATGCCGACATCGGGGGCAATGGAGCCCGCCTCTTCTTGGGTGCATCTGATGGCAGGGTGTTTGAAGTATATGGTTTGGAAATGGTATTGGATCTCATAAAAGTTGGCCGGTGCTTATTTACTAGAGGGGTTGCAGGGGCACTTGCAGTCTAATAAAGAATGAAAAAGCAAAATTGATACATAATTTCAAGATTCAAAAACACCTATAATTTTTAAAAATGTAAGAATCTTATAAATGCTACATAAGAAAATACTTACTTGGTCCCGCTTTTTCTTACTGCGTTGAAAAAAACTGAAAAACCCTTTATTTTCTTTCTCCTTCATAATGTCTAGGTTTGGTGATATTTGGCAGGACTCTAAAATAGAAGAAAAGCATTTACTTTTGTACCTGAGGTCGAATGTTTACTTCCAAGCTTTCCTTCTCTCACTTTCCCTTTAAAAACATATCTAGTGATAAAAGCTACTAATTACAGTCTACGAACCAGGCACTCTGCTAAGAACCTTAAATCTTATTGTAGTCTCAAAGCAACGAGCAAATGTTCCTATTTCACAGCAGGGGAAACTGAAGATTAAAAAAAAAACAAACTAAGATACATAATCAGGGTCAACAATCAGGAAAGGAGAGATTAGAACATAAAGTCAATTCTTTGTGCTTCAAAGTCTATACTCTGCACACAATTATTAACTGTTCAGAGGTAAAAGTTAAAAGGACACTTTAGATTAAATGAGATATGAAGTTGCTACCACACAGCGTGTCCCTATGTTTATTTTGATTTCAATTTTGTCTCAGAGCTAAACTATCATGAATTATTTTATTCTCCAAAACTTGAGTTAATATAATTGCGTAGTACACTTTGCTAAGTGTGTCATAAATATGATTTCTTTAATATAGTGGGTCTCGACTGGGGGCAATTTTGCCTCCTAGAGGACATTTGACAACGTCTGGGGAACTTTGGCTATTGTAACTGGGGATGGAGGCGGGAAAACATGCTGCTGGCATTTACTGGGTATAGACCAGTGATGAGGCTAAATGCAGCACAATGCACACAACAGCCCCTAACAACGAAGAATTATCTGGTCCCAAATGTTAACCATGCCAAAATCAAGAAATCCCACTTTAATTACAGTGGCAAATGTCAAATCTCAAGGTTGTGTATGTCACATTCTTTAAAACTTTCCAAAGAGTATCTGCTAATGTCAACTGAAAGAGCTTACAAATAACGACAAATACAGTAGCGCTGAGCCACCCTGGCCCAAATTGTCTCTAAATTTCATTTCCCATGACAAGGAGCTATGAGTACTTGAGAAGTTGATTCTTTGTATTAAGGAAGGTACGAGATGAACTTGGAACTTCCAGTCATACCAGAAAGAAACCTATCAAAGTCTACCAGAGTTGCGTTAAAATGACTCATGAATCACACGTTTTCTACTGTCAAAAATCAGGACAATTTGAGCATCTTAAGAGTGACACAATAAATTGAAACAAATCACATGCTTAATTCTATGCATGCATAATGATACCAAAAAATAACTCATCCTCATTGTTCACCTTTGATTAAGGTTAGAGAACCAGTCCATTATTTTAAAAACTGATGAAGAAAAAGAATCAAACTTTCATCCTGTCCTTTCTGACTGAATGAATTCTACTGAGGTAGTCAAATAGCTGACATGGGGAAGTTTGCTTTTCTAGAAATATCTCAGCTAATAATTAAAGTTTGCAGTAGACTATTCCCATTTTTCAACTCCTAATTGACTAAAATATAAGCAATCATCATCAATGACTAACATCAGAAACAATAATTTGTCATTACTTGTTTGCTAATGGAAGTACACAATACCACCTAGGAAGTATTCCTGACAAAAATATTGCACCAAAAGCTGACCAGCTCTCTAGTTTTAACAATCAAGTTATAGCAAATAGAGGTGACAAAGAAACATTAAATGACATCACAGTATACAATCAGTAAAGTTCTTAGTGTCAGAAACTCTGTAAAAGAAATCTGTAAAATTCAAAAAATATATCTTTTACAAAGAAACGTGGATTTTATGGTAAATCACCATATAATTTCAATAATATTTGAAATAAAGGACTGTATCATCAAAATTTATAAGCCACAACTAAAGCAGAACTTCAATATAAAGTATAGTCTTAAATGGCTTTTATTTAAAATAAAATGGCTATTTTATTTTAAATAAAAGCCATTTAAGACTATACTTTAGTCAGGATCAGTGGCTCAGCCTGTAATCCCACGCTTTGTGAGGCTGAAGTGAGTGGATTGCCTTAGCCCGCAGGTTCGAGACCTGCCTGGGCAACTTGGCGAGACCTCATCTCTACAATAAATCAAAAAATTAGCGGGTGTGGTAGCACGCGCCTGTAGTTCCAGCTACTTGGAAGGCTGAGGCGGAAGGATCGCCAGAGCCCAGCAGATCGAGACTGCGGTGGCCATGAGAGTGCCACTGCACCCCAGCCTGGGTGACAGAGTGAGACGCCAACTCAAAAAATAAAATAAAATAAATGTTTTAAAAAACAAAATAAATTATGACAAAGTGGGAGCTACTTTAGGAAAGCAAAGCCAGAGAACACCGATAAATATATTATTGCAATATGCCTCAATAATATATGAAAAGAAAACTATATTTCACATGTCAAAAATTTTAAATCTGAGGATTAAGTATTAAATAAGCAGCACACATTCTGCCCAATAAGCTTTACAATGCTAACAACTAATAATAAACACACACCAGCATTTTTTAGTTAAAAATGTTTTTCAAGCTGGGCACAGTGACTCACTCCTGTAATCCCTGCACTTTGGGAGGTGGAGACAAAAAGACTGCTGCCTGAGCACAGGGGTTTGAGACCAGCCTGGGCAACTTGGCGAGACCTTGTCTCCACAATACATAAAAAAAAAATTAGCTGGGTGTGTGCCTGTAGTTCCAGATACTTGGAAGGCTAAGGTGAAAGGATCGCATGAGCCCAGCAGGTTGAGGCTGCAGTAGCCATGATTGTGCCACTGCACTCCAGCCTGGGGGACAGAGTAAGACTCCAACTCAAAAAAAAAAAAAAAAAGACTCTGTTCTCAAAAACATGCCTAAAATATTTTTTAGAACAACCCTGTAAAGGAGGTATCACACAGTTATCACTCTGAACTCTGTTTTCTCATTGGAGGATGCTAGCATTTAGCCTGCTGGATAAGAAGAAATGAAAGCAGTGGTTTCACTTCATTACACATCTGAGGAACTGATGACCCAAGAGTTTCAATAACTTGCACAAAGACACATAGACATTAAATGGTAGAACTAAAACTAGTATCCATATAAAGATGATAATACCCATAATTTTTTTTGGATTTGCCACTATTTCATTTTAAGATAAAATCTACCACTTATCGAATGTAGATATCTAATTAAATTCTGTAAAAACAAGGTCAAGTAGAGTGGTTCACACCTATAATCTCAGCACTTTGGGAGGCTACGTCAGGAGGACTGCTTGAGCCCAGGAATTCTAGATGATCCTAGGCAAAATAGCGAGACCTCATCTCTATAACTAGCTGAGCATGGTGGTTCACACCTGTAGTCGAAGCTACTCGGGCGGCTGAGACGGAAGAATTGTCTGTGGTAAATTGGGATTGTACCACTGCACTCCAGCTTGGGCAACAGAGTGAGATCCCAACTCAAAAAAAAAAAAAGAAAAAAAGAAACTAGTAAGAACAGTAGATAGAAAATTCGCATGGTTGTCCAATACTATATAACCAGAATATTTCATATGGTTATTTTTGGTAAAGCCATTTCCAGGTATCTGGTCATCCTCCACACTATTAATCCCTAGGTCTTCACTTAAAGTTCTATGTCAAGGATTACAGCAAGTCAGTATTAAACACTAAAAGACAAGTGACAGCTTGAGTTTAATTAGAAAAGCAACTCAAATTATAGTTTTTCTGTTTTTAGAAGGGAAGTTAAAAGTAATTGTACTCAAAGTTTTAAGCCTTCTGATAATAACAGACAAAATAAGGAGGTGAGGGCATTTCCAGCATTTGGATTGACATTGTAGATTCTGACACTGTAAAGGAGCTTTCTTCATTTTACTATTCTAACCTCTTAAGGTTCCATCCACAACATATAATACTCTGAAAAAGCCACATACTTTTATGGCTGGAAGGGATATTAGAAATAAATGCATTCAACATCCTCAAAATAAGGCCAAAAAAGATTCTAGAATTTGCATAGGGTTATATATGTAGAAGCGTGGCATAGTTGGGAGCAAAAGCCAACTACAAGTAACAAAATGTTGCTGCTGGAGAGACTCACAGAGACTACTTTTTCTAATCTTCAGAAATTTCATGTAAAAGTGAGCTTTTTTACATATTATATAAAGCACCTTTACATGGCATAAAAGCTAATTTTACCATAAGCATGTAGTCCCAAATATTCACAAAATTAATGGGCACAAAATTCTATATGGTGACTATTACATTATTCTTCTGAATTATTGTCGTCAGTAGAAATAATTCAGATGAGATGTTCTCATGGTACCACCAAACTATTAGCATTTGTACCCAATAAACATTCTAGAAAAATCATTTTTTCTTGTATGAGAGTAAGGAATATTTTTTTCTCACACCAATAGGATGATACAATTTTGAAATATTTATTGAAAAGAAAGTATTATAATTAAACTCAGAAATCAAGGGGGAATCTATAATTTTTTTAGAAAATAAAACTAAATATTTGCTAAGTCAAAATCTCTTACAGAATGTACATATTAGTAATGTAAAGAAAATAGGTAAAACTAGAAGCTTATTTTCAATTTACCCAATTTCATGTTATAATTTGTTTCTATCGATTCATGTCTTACCTTGTAAAGATGACTTACTGAAGGCAGTAACAGAAGTGGCTACAGAAGGAGGGGGTATAAAAGAGGGTAAATTGACTGTGAAGATGATGTTTGTTCAAGTATAAAACATCACTGAGTTGAAAAAGTTGTCTATGGATTATATAAAGCCACAACCTCAGGATAAAGTTTGAAATTCTCTACACACAGAATATGTAAATAATCATCTCCTTCACTAAACTTTTATTTCTCCTAGTAAAACAGATTCATGAGTAAATATTCTTTAATCTATTAGACACCATACAAACCAACATTATCTAAGATCTCCAAATTTTATTACATTATTTCTATAGATTAAAACTGGAAGCTATTTCAAAAATTTGGGGAGTTAGAGTGATTCATTTTATAAGCTAGCTTATTTGGGGTGCTGACCTTAGGAAAAAATTTCCAAATATGAACGACAATTAAGACTCAGACAAAATCATAGTGAGTTTATAGTAATTCACACTTGATTAGAACAATTAATTTACAGGTAAACTTCTATTTTCTGTTGAAGCCTCAAAGCCACAGGGAATTAAGCTTAATTCTACCAAAAAAAAAATTGTAATAGATATAAAAATATAAACTGTGCATGAGAGTTAGAGACAAGTTTTCATTCCAATTTCAA